AAGATACTCGTATCTTATAACTCGATCTGGTAACTGTGATTTGGGGCGGTCATTATCGTATCGTATAAGATATCGTAAATTTCGAACGGAACTAATTCATTCTTCTGACAACACAGAATGGCAAAATTTTGCTGAATGGAAACGGATGGCCTGCGGGCACATTGTCTATCCCTTACCTGATTCATGGTTTTGATGTCCAAAGTCACCATTTTACAAAATAATTAATTTATTGTTTTATCTACTACAAACTTCTTGGCATTGATTGCACAAGACGTTGACAAGTATCTTGACCTCTTAATCTAGCCCACACAGGAATTGTTTTGTTTCTTTCTATTATTCGAAAGTTTTATCAGATAGCAATCGGTCACAGGTAAAGGATTTCATATGAATTTGGTCAAATTTTTCTTAGAAAACGTTGACAATGTGCCCGCAGGCCATCCGTTCCCATTTAGGAAAAAATGATAAATGATAAAGTACCTAGTAAAGCTGATGATTCCCATTTTTTTTTATTTTCATCGATAATTCTTTACCTGTTTGCTATCTGATAAAACTTTCGAGTAATAGAAATTTTGCCATTCTGTGGTCAGGTCAGGTCAGGTCAGGTCAGAAGTATGAATTGTTTCAGTTCGCCGCCCCAAATCACCGTTACCAGACCGAGTTATAAGATACGAGTATCTGTCTTAATCCTTTGTCTTAATCCTTTACTACACTTTTTCAAAAAAGTGAATGATAAAGATAAAAAATGATAAATGATAAAGTAGTAAAGCTGAAGATTCCCATTTTTTTATTTTAATCGATAGCTTTTGAAATAAGTAAAAACTTGTTAATTCTTTACATAAAGGCGGATTTAGGTAAAGAAATGAAAATTAACGCTGATTTGAATATATTCCAGTCAAAAATTTGTGTTATTTGCCTAAGACATTTTGTGTTTGTACTTAAAAAATTATAAGTATAAATACAGGGCTGTTTAAAAAATGCCGCACACAACTATGTTACGGTGTCTAGAAGCATTTGGTGAGTGAAGGAAAAATATTTAAAAAATTTATGGTTTTTATTTTTCTGCACAATAGGGGTTTTTTGCAAGAATCTTCAAACTTGTTAGTTGTACTTATTATTACTAAATAATACTCAAAATGCAATTAAAATATGCAGAATGGAAGGTAGATTAATAATCTTTAACGCAATGTCTATGGTCTTTAACATGGTCTTCTAAATTATCGATAATTATGCAAAAATCGATGCGGCAACATTTAAAGGTAACAATGAATTCAAGAATTGAATGGAATTATTCCATGGCAACTCTCTTGATTTTCTCAAGGTAGGTAACACACAGTTGCCAGATTTACCATAAAATAAATCTTCATCCAGGTACAAATTTAACATCAAAATTTTTTTAAATATTTTTTCCTCACTCACCAAATGCTTCTAGACATCGTACCATAATTTTAGTGCGGCATTTTTCAACACCCTGTATGTTTGCATTTTTTATGAATATCACCTAGAAAATGTACGTTTTTTTTGGATAGAAGTATTGTATATACATGAAAAAATCGCGAGAATTCACTAGTTACAAAAAGCCATTTAAGCAATCGTTTATTTCTCAACTCGCCGCTACGCGGTTCGTATGGGGTTTAATGGATACCTTTTGCAACTTGTATTTTAATACGTGTATATCTACTCTTTTCTCTAGATAGTCATTAACGGTGGTAATTTTTCTAGTACCAAAATTAATAAATACCATCCTGACAATAAAAAGACCATTTCAAGGTTTACAATTATTTATTTTATGAGTATACTTTTTTGTAGCACATTCACCATGCCTTCTAGTACGCCTAAACATTGTCGATCTCAATCGTCAAGGCAAAATGTACAGCCAAGGTATGGCACCTGTATATCGTATAATTCCTGGAAAAATGCAGTGGGAACGCATACGTGACAAACCCATCTATAACGTAAGAAATTTGTACAAAAATAAAACACAAAATAATCATAAAAAACTTCCAGACCGTCGACGATATATTCACTCTCAGTTTTAAATTTAAAACACCAGAAAATGTCCAAAGCATCACGTATTTTGCTTTCACTTATCCATTTTCCTACACTGACCTTCAAAAACTATTAACAAATATAGATTTAAAATTCGAAAACTACGTGGCCAACTACGAGGATGATATCTACTACCATAAGGAAGTAGTTTGTCGTTCTTTGGGTGGCCGTGACATTCACCTCTTGACTGTTTCCTCCTATCATGGAATTACACCCGAAATTGAAACCCGTTTGAAAAACCTCTTCCCTGATAAAAATTTCCGTCGACCATTTAAATTTGTGGGTAAGAAAGTCGTCTTCGTTTCGGCTCGTGTACATCCGGGGGAAACTCCTTCGAGTTTTGTTTTTAACGGTTTTTTGAATCTATTATTGACTCGTGACGATCCGGTGGCAATAATGTTACGACGGTTGTACGTTTTCAAGATGATTCCCTTTTTGAATCCCGATGGAGTGGTTCTGGGGCATTACAGAACGGATACAAGAGGTGTTAACTTGAATCGGGTATATTTGAATCCGGTTTTGGCACAACATCCGGCAGTTTATGCCGCAAGGGCGTTGATAAGGTACTATCATTTCGGATACGAGAAAGAGGATGCCCTGGACAAGTCGCAAGGTGATGCGACGATTAGTGTCAAAGTATCGAATATGAGTCTGGAGGAGAAGGAAGGAGGTGTTTGGTGTGCAAAATGTAAAGGTGAGTTTATTCGAATTTTTGAAAATAATGAAGGTGGCCTGTAACTTCATATTAAGTTGGCAACATTGAAGTCTTATATTTGCTGTTTCTGTAGCTAGATTATTCACTGTTGCTAACTATTTCAAAAGCATACAAAACAAAAAATGTTTATTTAGTTAAGATGTGTCGAAGATGTAGAAGTGCCGAAATCGTAAAGGATGAAGAAGAAAACATCGAAGTGAACGCAAACGAAAGCGGATTATTTTTGTACATAGATTTACATGGTCATGCTTCAAAGAAAGGAATTTTCATGTACGGAAATCATTTCCAAGATTTGGATAGGAATGTCGACTGTATGCTTTTGCCGAAGTTAATGAGTATGAATAATCATAATTTTCACTTCACTGCCTGTAATTTTACCGAAAGGAATATGTATCTCAGGTGAGTACTGTATTGAATTATTTAAATTCATTATACAGGATGACTCATTAGTGTGGCATCAGAGAATAATATTATTAAGTACGAATTTATTCTTTTGCTTTGTTTATTGGTATTAGTTACATAACAAAAAAATCTTAATAAACTTTTTCGTAACATGTAGCATTACCTAGGAAAAAACAAACTTAATTTGCTATCACTGGATGGGAACCGTGTTTTATTTTTATAGTATTTTGTGTAATTTTTTTTTTTTTAGTCTAATGCTTTTGTTTACTTTTGCGTCTCTAAAACAACTTTATGATACGCAACTTTTTATTAGTAAAGGTTGATAATGACTTCAAAATTGGAAACTCATCCATTATAGATATGAATTGTCATATGCCAAGGTTGGCCAAAATTTGTACTGTACAGTGATGGACAGTGAATTTTGTCCGCACAATTTCAATGACAGACTAAAACTGTAAATAAGCCTTTAAATTTTTCTAACCTTGTTTCAGAATTTTGATTAACATTTTTCATGTTGACAAAATGCTCGATGCTCCTTGCTACTTTTTACTTTTGCTTTGCTTGAGATTTAGTACCAATCAACTTGCAGGTTGAAAATCTGGTCCAAAATGAGTAAGAATTTGATTAAATTTGACAATACGTATTTGAATGTCAATTATCATGACAATAAAGCACAGACTACAGTGAATTTTTGTGAATTCACAGAAATTGAATGGACGAAATTTTCTGTCCATACTGTACCATTAAATTTAGACCCTAACAAAATTTGATTGTGAGTGTCTCTTAAAACTAGTAACAAAGTTGTTAAGTTGAGTTAAAAATGTGTTTTGAGGTTATGAAATCTTTATATAATAATTTGAGTTGATTTATAACAGGAAATAGTATGCAATTTTTATTTAAAAAATATTTTGAAAATGAAAAAAAAAGGAAAAAGATTTCATTTAATTAAAAATCGGACAATTTGTCATTAGGTTTTGCCTCAGATTGTCCTAACAATATAATTACTGGAGGGATGTTTTCGAAAGATGTATTACCCATATACTTCGCCCAATCATCTTTGATGAGTTTTTCGCAATAATTAATAATACTCCGCTACATTTCCATAATTGAAGAGGTTGGGCATGGACATGTTTATTGTAATACTGTTTGGCAAACTCCTATACTACACTGACCGGCATAATTATCGCATCTCTTAAATTTTAAGATTTAAAATGGCGAAATTCTGAATATAGTACTAAAATTGACGATATAGGATAGTAGCTTTTTGAAGTAAATCAGTCGACTATGGATTTTTCAAAAACAATTGGTGTAGATTCATTGAATAAATGTCAAATTATCAAAATCACCGCTAATTTTCGAGGGAAAACAATAAAAAACTGAGCTTTTTTCCAGGCTCGAGGAGGCAATCCCAGTTATTAATGGATGCCTCTGAATGTAAGAAATGCTTATCTAAGTTAAAGAACTGATCCGCACGGAATTCGTTTTTTTATTTCTTTTGACAATAGTTTAATTGTTGAAGTTTAAGTCGTAATTTTAGTTTAACTTATTTTTTTTTAAGCGTTATTTTAATAAAAAAATCACTTTTTTCTATTTCGTTGTTAGAATAAGTCGTTCGCGGTAATTTAATTTTAGTGATGGACTTTCGTCACAATTCATTTTCAAATGTGAAAATATGAATTATTTTTATTTTGTACAGCCGCCTAAAATTATTCCACATACCTAAATGTCGCCAACCGCCGCAAAATTCTCTAGAAAAAAAAAAATTCGTTTTTTAATTTATAAAATGATATAAAGCGACAAAATAGAAAAACAGTATAAAGCACTTGTTGCAGAAGGTTCTTTATGCACTCATTTGTTCCTCAACTCGCCTCTACGCGTCTCGTTTCGGAATTTCAAGTTTGTGCAACTTGTACTTTAATATACTATTCCCATGTGATGCGATAATTTTTCCAGTGAGTGTAGTTCAATTTCATTTTACTGGCAGTGATATGGTGGAAGCCTGAGAACCCGATGTCCATAACTGTGTAAAATACCACCTGTTACATTTTATGTTCTACTTCTAAGATAGGTTTAATTAGGTTCAAAAGTTCTCTTTTCGTTGATCTTGGATTGAAATTGATATTCTTTCTCTGGAGCCACTTTTCCATTTCTCCTTTCCGAGAATTTGCATTGAGAGGTATATCAGTTCTCATAGAATGGAAGAGGGCATTATCCATTATAACAACTAATTGGCTTTTAATTTTGTTCAAAGTAGGAACCAATTGCTCTTCAATCTACTTTTTAAATCATTTTTTGGATATGTTTTTGTGATTATCACGATATCACGAAATTGCATCCATCTAAAAATCCAGAAATGCATCCCGCATGAAGAGTAACTTTTTAGACTCTATCTCCGACTTTGACGATTTTTTTTTTAAACTATTGCCAGTGTATTGTTTATTGCTTGTAGCTTTATAATTTTTTATATTTTTTCTCCTATGTAAAGAAGTTTTGACAACTGTTTGGCATTTCTTAATATAAAACGTCAGATTATTTTTAATAGATTTAAAGCAATTTAAAGCTTTGTAATAAAAATAACTATTGTGTGTTTTTTGAAACATTTTTTTTTAATGGCAACCTGCTATGCCAATTTTTTGGCCAAAAACTACGACCTAGAAATTGCAATTTTCTAAAGAAAATCATATTTGCGTTAATTTTTTTTTTTCAATTAATGAATCTTTTTTACTTTCACATTTATTGCAACAAGATTACTATTATTCTAGGGACCGTCGAGACGGCATGAGCAGAGAAGGCTCCGGCCGTGTAGCAGTCCTCAAACTCACCGGTTTAACAAAAAGCTATACTCTTGAATGTAACTACAACACAGGTCGAATCGTAAATGTTCTTCCGCCGACCATAAAAGAATCCCACAATAAAGTCCATACGATTTTAGTACCTCCAAAATACACTCCTCAAATATTCGAAGAGGTTAGAATTTTCAACACAGGATTTCAGAACTTGCACTCCAGAGAAAAATGCGATATCAAGGAAAAAATGGTAAAAAAATTCCATCTGTAAAAATTTCGAAATTGTGGGGTTTAAATTTTGCACTTTGACCCTACTTATTTCTGTTGTTAAAATGATTTTACATGTTTTATTTTTCCTGGAAGCTATTAGAAGAGAAAACAAAGAAGATATATCCTGAATTGTAACAACATATGTTTAACGTTACTTGTAGCTTTTATAGGCAAAGTTTTTGTACCTGAATAATTATGAAAAAATATAATATTAATAAACATAAAAAGGTCAAATGTTAAAAAATAAATGTACAGGGTGCTGCATTTTTGGATGTCCGAATAGAGAATCTCCGAAACTAAGATGTTTAGCCAAAAAGGAGTGATACCATCTGGGGCTCATTTTTTGAGAAAATAATATTGGTGAAAACCGCATTGTGCTATCGTCTTTTGTTTTCGACTTACAGACAAAAGTTGACATTTTAGCGAAATCGAAAAAAATTCATATCTTTGTTATTATAGAAGATACAGATTTGAAATAAAGACATTATACAGGCACTTTTTAACGTAGAATTTAATAATGTCGTTAACAATTTTTAAACCATTACAAAAAATAATACTATATTTATTATGTAGTGAACATTTAATAAAAAAGTAACAATAACTAAGTAAATAAAACAAATGACAATAACATTTACAACAAATGTTCGAAAAGTGTATAATGTCTTTGTTTCAAATCTGTATCTTCTATAATAACAAAGATATGTTTTTTTTTTAGATTTCGCTAAAATGTCAACTTTTGTCTGTAAGTCGAAATCAAAAGACGATAGCAGGATGCGGTTTTTACCAATATTATTTTCTCAAAAAATGAGCCCCAGAATGTATCACTCGTTTTTGGCTAAACCTCTTAGTTTTGGAGATTCCCTATTCAGACATCCAAAATTACAGCACCCTGTACAGATTTTTTAAACATTTTTTTCATGTTCTTGGTGTCTTATTTTACTTGGCATTTTTATCTGGAGCGCGAGTTCTGAAACATTTTGTATATTCCACCAATCCACAAATTGCGATTTCTTTGTTTTTATAGGTTGGTAGATCACTCGGCGCTTCGATTCTAGACCTCACCGGCCAAAATCCTTGCTCAAGAATTCCCAATTCCGAATTTCATTCCATTTCCGGTTTGAAAGATTGGCTAAGGATTTATTGTGCCAATGAAATGGATGAGACTAGACCTCATAGTAAAATTAAGCTGAGAAACCTAGCCGGCCTCCATAATCAGGTAGGCCATGATTTAAGCGAAGGTGATTAGTGATTTTTTGTTTGCTAAGTTGGTGATCTTTGTGTAAAAGCTGGGAAATACATTCTTGTCAAAAAGTAAAATTGTACTCTTATTTAAATGGTATTTTGCATACAGAGTGTTTCATAATTATAGTGAAACACTTATGTGGACCTATTCAGTTTTTTGTTTTTTATTATTGTCAAGTTAAAATAAATTGTTCGTCAAAACAAATTGATAATTTAAGCATTTGTGTTTTTGAACCACTCTTCGCATCGTTCGTTTGGAATAATAAGAGAACAATTTTACGTTTTTACAAGAACGAACATAACAAATCAACTCTGTTAAGAGTTTGATTGCTACAGGGAAAACCATCTCATGGTTTATTACTGAAAACGAGACCCGTTTCGGCGCCCAAACGTCTGGCGAGTCGTGCTAGACCTGCAACGGTGCCCATTGAACGCAAAGAAAACATGGCGGTGAGTTCGGCCGCCGCCATGTTGGTTTCGCAACCGAGTTGTTCACATCATTCCACCAACAACGATAACGCTAAAACTTTCCGTCTGAATAAAATGAAAACGAAAACCAAATTCAAACGGAACGTCAGCGGTGAAAGAAAAATCGTTCGAAAACAGATAAAACCGACAAAGAAAGCAATGATCGGTAAAGAAATGGCCGAAGAAAGGAAGAAATTGCGCGAGATTTGTATTGAGACGAAAAGCGAAGAAAAATTATGGAAGGACGAGGCGGGGCCGAGCAGAGGAGCCACTTTTATTGTGCATAATTTTGCGAAAAATTCCACTTTTGTCAAGTGTAAGTTTAAAAAGCACTCGTTGAGGAGGTTGACGAAAAGTACACCGGATGCAGGTAAGGTCGACAAAGTGAAGAAAAGGAAGAAACTCAAGTCGAAATAGACACATTTTTTGTTTGTAAATTGGTGGTTTATAAAGTGATATTTTTGTGATTTTGGTTGTTATTGGTTGAGATTTATTATTTTAAGTGAGTGGTGTCCTTTGGTGGTCGATTGCATAATTACCATGGAGTATATTTGTAAAACTTTTTTTTGGATATCACCACTAATTGAGGACAAAATAGAGTATGCTCAAATATACTGCAGAAGTTTCAGAACTGATTACTAAAGGCGGCGTTGTTGTTTACTTTGATTTATTACAAAATAAAACATTAAAAATTATTTTATTGTTTGCAGTGTTTCGTAAACTGTATCGGTTTGTTGTCAAATGTCAAAATTGCTTTAGATGGCGACACTGTAGTAAATTCAGAGGCGGACACAGAATTTTGGACATCAAAATTAAGTCAGTTCAATGTAAGTCACTCTTTAATGTCATTATGATTGACGTTTGAAACTAAAATTTGAAAGTTTTAGTTGAAATTTATTTTTGGTGTCGATTTTCCGAAACAATGCGAGTAATAACTACGTGTTTTTTTAAGTTCAATAAATTATTTTGATTTGTTCTCATTTTCTCTAGCTATCAGGATCAAAATTACAAAAACCGAAAGTGAGGTTAGTTGCCTAAGGCTCGTTTTATATTTTTATGTCAGTCGAATGACAAATCGTCCATTATTCCGTGTCCGCCAATGTACAAAAAACTGTGAATTATAGGTCAAAATTAAATAAATGGTTAAATTTTTGAGTAATTTGGTATAAACTTAGTCATGGTTATGAAACTCACTTTGTAAGAAACTCACACCCTACAGCGGAGTAATTATGTTTAAAAAGTGACCGCTAATTAAGCCGAATTGAGGAATGTTTTTTTTTTTGAAGATATAAAAGTGATTAGGTGTCCACGTTTCAAAATGATCTCAATATTCGAATCCTTACAGAATTGTGATTTATTAATTTGACTTTTTTCTCAATGTGTATACACGGTGTATTACAGAATACCCAAACATGCCTACCTTTGATTTTATAACAAACCATACATCAGTGTGTTCAATTTTTGAAAAAGTAGAAATAGAATTAATTTCAATGTAAATAAATAAATGTAAAAACGATTTTGTACAAGCTACAATTTTATTTACAAGATTCTCGTAAAAAATATTGTTAATAATACTAAAATCTCATTGTAATATGTATTTAGCTTCAAACAACTAACTAATCTGTACATCATATCAGTCGAATTATTATTATTAAAGATAACTACGAGTACATGTTTCAAATCGGTTTTTTGTTGAAATTAATGTTTAAATATACTTATTGTTACCTTAAAATTGTTTTATGTACATTTGTTTAAATAAAATATTGCACATATTTTGTTGTTTTGTACCATGTTTTGCCTTTTTTACTTTCCTTATCTTATAAGGAAACTATTGTAATCGGCTGAAATTTGACCTACCCAGGTTTTTACATTTCTGGACGAATTATAGCTTCAAGACACCAAAAAAGTTGGTTTGGGCCATTGGATCGTGTGTGATAAGAGTTAGAAACTTGAAATTTGGTATGTAAGTTACTTGTAGCAATGGGACGTAGCATGAAACAATTGGTAAAAATCGGTTGCGCAGTTCGGCCAAAAAGTAAAGCGGCCACAAAATTATACGGTTGAAGAAACAATAATTCATGGCGATAAAAATTACTTAGAAACATGACCTGAAACATGAGATATATCTTATTAAAAGTAAAATGCGATGAAATAAAAATAATAATTTGTATCAAACTAAAAAAAAATTGCACCCCAGACTCGAACCCGCGACAAGAATTATTTATTTTGCGTATAGTCTGGCAGGTGGCACTAATGCAAACGTTAGGTTTGCTACTCGGATTTCAACACTAAAGTATTGTCGTAAGGATGTTTTCCAAATATGTAGGATAAGGAAAGTCGTGTGATGTTTGTACCACCATCTTGAAAATATTTTTATTTAAGAGGACGTAATGGATTATGACTCTGTACTAATTTTCAAATAAATACGATTATTTGAACTCCCAATAGTTCTAATGTGGAATTTAGACGGAACACTCTGTATAAATTGTTTTTTATTAGACGATTAATTGAAATTGATTCATTCTGCTCGTAATGTTTACTTTTCGATTCGATCTGAAATTACACAAACAGTGATGAATAATAAACGAATTAATAGTGGTTGTTTCACCTCATTATTTTTGTCTCTCTGCTATTAAAAATTCATTATAAGTTTTCCCACAACAATGGAAAAGCATTTACCACATACACAAATCTTTTTCAAAATGTCAGATTACAAACCCAGTCAAAAACTTTACAAAAATCTGTCACCTGTTTTCAAAATTTCTCAATTTATGGGACTATGCCCTTTTACTTATCACGAACGTGAAAACTCATTTAAATGGTCGTGGAAAATGTACATTTTCTACCTTGTGATAATAACGATTTTAGGTGAGTTGGTTTTTAAAATTTTTCTAAAAATGTTTTTTAGCATGTTGGTCGTTTTGGGGCTTCGTAAACGACATGCAAGTGGCTTCTTTTACAGCTTTGGGCTTCAGGGGCACTGCGGATTTTGCCATTGCTTCTTTCGATGTCAGTGAGGTTATTTTCAGTGCGATTTTTTTCGTGGTTTCCACACCTTTCAAATTTAAACATTTTATTCGGATCATCGAGAATATTGATCAAATTGACTCTCTCGTTTCTTCAATTTTTGTTAAAGAAATTCGAAAAAGGACAAATATATTTGTTAAGGTTTTGGCAATTTTCTTGCCTACTTTATACATCCTTGACCTGTTTATGTGGGGGAATAATAGCTGGGAAGGGTTAAATAATTATTTTGCCTTCTATATAATGTACAGCATTGTTTTGGTTCACGAATTACAGTATTGGCAAATAATGACGATGATGTATGTTCGAATTATGGGTCTCAATAAAACATTGAAAGATTCTTTCAAAAATAAAACAGGTTTGTATTTTTTAAAACCATATATTTTCAAAAATTTCCTATTTTAGGACTCTGTGAACAAGACATATTTGTAATTATTCAAACTTACAATTATATACATGATTCAGTAGAAGAAATCAATGAATGTTTTAGTTTCAGTACTACTATAATTATTTTCAGCTGTTATATTCATTTAGTAATAAGTCCTTACCAACTTTTTGTCGTAATGTCAAGCATTGAAACTTCTATTTTTCATTATGTGTATTTATTGTGGATTTGTTTACAAATTTGGAGAGTTTTAACAATTGTTGAAGTTTGCCACAAGTGTGAGACTCAGGTCTGGTTTTATTATTATTACAGGCTAGTCTAAAGTAACATAAAACACCATTAAGTGATAAAATCAGAAATATTTTTAATGTCACTTAGCAAATTTTTCCTGATGATAATTAAGGATTTATTCAAAATGTAACAAAGGCTTTGTTCTTTTACAGAATCAGAAAACTAGAAATTTGGTTTACCAATTATTGCTTTGCAAATTAGACAAACGAATCAAAAAAATGGTAGGCGACTGAAATACAAAATTATGTGTAAAATGTGGTAGGATAGGTATGTTTATTTTTTTAGGTTAGAACACTTTTCTTTATAGTGACAAAAAGAAAACTTTTGCTTTCTGCATATGCTTTACCTAAAATTAACAGAAGACTTGTAATATCTGTAAGTATAAACTTTTATAATTAATAGTTTTTTGATTTCAATGATTTTTTCAGATTCTTAGTTCTATCAGTACTTATTGGATGATTTTGATGCAATCCAGCGCTAGGACGATACGAATGATTTAATTACGGTCTTTTTTTACATTTTGCTACTTGACACAATATTTAATTCTATTGTAAATAATAATTACTTTAAAACCTGGGTAAATGTATTTTTTATTCATTAACAGAGCATTTAGTACCAAGGGGGACAGGTCGAATGAACTAAATTCTAACTTACGCTAAAACGGCTTTAATCATAAGTGACAACCTATACAATATTTTTTCCAACACCTAACTTAGAATTTATGTAAATGTTTTCATCGTACACTACTGAATATAATAAAAACTGACTGTATATATCCTATACAAGAAATTAGTATGTAAACAACCACTAATCAGCCATTATAAAATAGTGTACATATTACATACTCTGTCGAGAGACCAAATTGAACCAAGAATGTACGACTTGACATTTTAAAAATAATCCTATGGCGCTGCATTTTTTTTTTGCTAGAACAGAACATCCTAATTAATAAATTTTGCTTGCCGAGTATTTTTTTTATAAGCCAAGATACAGGGCATTTCAGAACTCGCGCATCAGAGAAAAATGGTAAGATAACAGGAACATGAAAAGAATTTAAAAAAAATCTATCTATAAAAATTTGGAAATTATGCGAGTTTAAATTTTGCACATTGACTGTATTTATTTCTGTTGGAAAAATAATTTGCCAATTTTTTTTGCTATAGGCTAATAGAAGAGGAAACAAGGAAGCTGTATCCTAAATTGTAACTCTGTTTAGCGTTATTTGTGGCTTCTATTGGCAAAATTTTTGTACCTTTACTAAATAATTGTAAAATAACATATTCAAGATCATCAGTGTCATTAAAAGCACATAAAAACATGTCAAATGTCTAAAAATAAATGTCAAAATTTTTTGAGAGATGGAATTTTTAAACATTTTTTCAGTACTCTGGGGGACTACCTAATTGATCCCTTTCAAGGAGGTGCGCGACTTTCCGGACAACTGTATTTGTAGTATTCATTGTTACTTCAACAAAATTTTAAAAAATACTCGAGACTTGGCACTTCGAAAATCGAATTTTTCAAACTTTCTGACATTTTTTACCAACCACCACCTTATTAGGGCAAAAGTTCCTAAATTTTGAAAAATTGATTTTTATTTTTAAAAAGTACTCAAACGTGTAAAATAGAAAAAAGAGCATAAAGAACATGTTCCATAAGTCATTTGTGGACCTCGTTCTTCATAAAACTGGCGCTTTGCTGCTCGTTTCATAAATCTGAACTCGTTCCACAAAATTTTAATATACTATTGTGCAACTGTTTTCAGTTGCATAAAATGCAACTTTGTGACACTGTTTTTGGAAACATTTTATCATCACTGACTGTGAATACTGTTGTTTTTAAATGAGAAATTGTTGTAGATAAACATATTTCACCGAAACTAATGTAATTTGAGCTATTTTCAAGCAATTTGGCAACGGCATACGTCAAATATCAAAATTTTAACTGTCAAGCATAATAATAAAAAGCGCTCAATAGAAAAAATAGAATACAAAACGCATGCTACAACATCACAATGTGATACTCGTGCATTTGTAACCTACTCGTATCACAATGGGAGTACTTGTAGTACTTGTTTTTTATATACTATTTTGTATCAGAGAAGAACATTTTTGCTTAAGTACAGCTTAAGTTTTTATAATTTATATTTGTTTTCATATTAATGTGCATAGAAGTAGTCGTTGAAAGGGATCATTTTAAGGTGGCAAACATGCGAAAAGACAAACAATCCTAACCTCAATATTTCCTAAAATTTTTTTTTTTCAAATAAATGTGTACCTTATGTAGCAAAAAATAATTAAAATTACCAACGTAATTAATATAGTGTAGCAAACTTAAAGATTTTTGTCATTATTGACGTGATTAAATTTGTTCTGAATGACATTAGTGACACTTTTTGTGTAAATTGGCCTTTAATTTAAAGATTTATTTAGACTTTTACAACCTACTTGACGCACATTAATATGAAAAAGAGTATATAAAATTTTTAGGAGCGGACATAACACTACGAATATTGCTTAGTTGACCGCCTTCAAAAGCTTTTATAAATTTTAAAAAACTTAAGCTGTAAACAAAAATGTTCTTCCCTGATAAAAATTAATTAATTAAAGTAATTGCCACATGTGTGCGCAGGTGTGAATGCAAAATTTCAGCTTGTTTGAACGAGAGGAACTGTCTCAAATTTGATTTGCAAAATTTCGAGGTGTCTGTCACAAAATTAAATTAAATTATGTAAAGGCTTATAATAACTATAATAAATGCAACAAGTGCAAATGTATGTCAAATTTTTTTATTTGATGTGAGATTAGCCTGTTAGTTTTTATTTACTGTTTTGCTGTCAAGTTAACAATTTTCGCGTGATCTCACAGGGAGTAAATTGTTTATCGTTTTACCTCTTTCTAGAGGCGTACATTGCAAAACGACACTTTCGGAATTAACCTTTACCAATAAAATAATTAATTTGATTCATGGCCACTTAGCCACCGCGCAATGTTGTCAATGTTAGCAAAATTCCCTACATTTCGAAATTGAATTGTTTTGTTTAAAAACGGTGCAAAGTAAAAAAATACTATGCGATATCTCGTTTATAAGGCATTTTTCGCACTCCTTGCTGCACTTGTCGTATCCTAAACCCGTGTTTCTTATAAAACTACTATTATAAATTTTGTTTTAACATATTCAATCACACACTGTGAATAATAGTATATTATGTAACAAGGATAGAATGAAAGTTCGATACGAGTGGAAGCGAGCGTCTACGAGCGTGAGGAACCACAAGTAGATAGAGACTGTATTTTCTCCACAACCAGAAAGAATGAATCAAAAACAATGAAATTTGAACAAAACAAGTAAAAATAAGTTATCTGACATTTAGATCAGACACTGACAGTTTTGAAATCCATGACAAGGTATGTATTTCGTTGAGCATAATTATAAAATATTCATTCAATCACTTGTTAAGAAAAGAAAATCTATGCAAAACACATGAGAACTTAAGAAGCAAGTGTTTCAGAATAAATATGTGTAATTCAGAGCAAAATAGTATTAACTCCAGTTTTTAAACTAAAGTGCTCTAAAGAAAAAATTGTGTTTTGGTAGTTAATACTGTTTTGCTCTGAGGTACAGATATTCTGTCTCAAGAGTAAGAAGTTTTACTTTCTATCACTATTAGAAATTATTTTGGAATTATTTCAATCATTAATGGTCCTGGAAAAGCAAAAATTCTATTTTATGCTATAAATCAATTTAAAATGCCAAAAAAATTATGTATTTGAAATAGCAGTTAAGAGGTTTTGGATAAAGTTTTGTATAGTACACATGTGTTACTACAAATGAGTAACGTAAGAAAACTAGTTTTATACTCGGCTTACGGGCTCTTGGGATAAATCTTTTCTTGCGTAACTAATTTGTAATATAACAGATTATACAGATAAGACAGCTTTTTGGCGCCAAAATAGATAAACTGTTTTTTCACTGTACTTTTTGCCAAGAGTCACATAAAATCATAGCAGTTGTGTTCTACGTATTGCTACAAACGTATTACAACAATTAGTTTCCATTTAAATATTGTGAATTTTATGAAAAACTGAAATATAAGATTGTCTATTTGTGAGTATCAGATTTACCCCTTCCATGCCTCCAAAATGACCGTTGAACGGGCCGTTTTGAGGTTGGCAGCGTTGAAAGTACCAACATAGATACCAGCCAACACAAATACAGTAACTAAGTTATTTGGCAGTTTACATTTTGATGTGACAAGTTTTTGAGGTTATGATGGTAGATGCATATGGATATGGTTTGCAGGGTGGAAAGTTTGTGTTATTTTGGAAATTGGAATAAAGTGATGCAAAATGAAAACATTAATAACGTAAATTTTTGTTGTTTGCTTTACGAAAGATTATTTTCAATACGTAAAGTACATTTGAATTTGGCGGTATCCGAAGACCGTTGAGAGCAAGGATGGTAGACATAGAGGATTGCTCAGGCCCTATGCTGCAATGTTAACCATATTTCATCATCCCCACCACATTGCGTGACGTCACAACTGGCCCATATTGTTTGTTTACATCAGCTGTGCTTCGTGTTTTTTGGTGTTTTAATGATATTAGAGCGTATTAAGATCGTACAAAAGAAAATTGTAGTACGAAATAATGCAAATTTTAGTATATTTAAAGTAATTCCAATAAATTTAAATAGGTGCTGCATATATCGTCACTATATGCCTGGTAGATGGTATGCTGTATATGGTTGTAACAGCAGCCAAATAAAACCAAAACAAATGGATGACAATCTCATTTTTTATCTTTTTCTATCGGCAACAATATGGTCTCATCAACGATGAGAAAGGAACGGGCCAACAGGTGCAGACGAGCTGATAAGTTCAACTCGATTCGTAGGTCAATTTGCTCCATTTCAAACAATGATTATCAACGTGATCTAAGAAACAAATTGTTATAATGCATTCATTTTTGTTTTAGGCTAGAGTAAGCTATTTTATTGTCATACAGCTACAGTCGCCAAATTTCCATAGCCTATTCTGATCTAAAACAGATTTTAACAAATTAAAGTCATAATTCACTTTTATTTGCATTATTTGATATTTGCTCCTATTAACTCCCATGCATTTGACGCGATTAAAGGCCAGTTGTGACGTCACAGCATGTCTATGGACCACGTGACGCCGGCTGACAGATTCGTGAGCCTGAGCAATCATTTATGTCTACCATCCTTGCGTTGAGAGGGCCAGGCGGCCAAGTGGGGGTAACATCCATTTCGCGATTTTGCCGTAGCTGTCATATCTGTATAATCTGTGATATAACACACTTGTACCATATATACCATAAATTAAAGAATCTAGTTATTGGCATTCGTGTTTGTATATCGATTTTCTACATACCTTTACATTTGTGTTATTACAATAACAAAGTGCTTTTTTCCAAATAAATTATGTAAGTACATAATTGAACAATTTAGTACATACCTAAAATATACCTACATATTATTATTTTAAATGTGAAAAATATTATAAATAAAAAAATATAAATA